TTCGGTTTGGATTCTGACCGGAAAGTCTTCGCGATGAAAATCGGACAATTCAGACAAATCAGACAACGTGTCAAAAATAACGTTCGAGCAAGATTTTTTTTGTTTTTCTCGCAGGGAAGCCGGAAAGCCTCGTTTCCCACGGCTCACCCCGTTATCTTCCGGCGCGGAATTCGCGATTTCCTCCGCTTTTCTAAAGGCCTTTCATCTCGCACGGGATGAAAGGCTTCGGGGTCCCGAGTGGTCCCGAGGGACTCCTCGAGGCCGGAGATCATTCAAGCACGATCATGTCATTATGCACATAATGCACATAATGCAGCCCACTTCATCAGCGATAATTGGAGTAGCGAGGGAGTTCTAATTTCAAGCGCTGGAACTCTTGAATCCCACCCGCGCTCGTTATGCATTCGCTTCTCGAGACGTTGAGCCTCGTTCGTCTACACGCTATTAATTTAATTAAATCCCGGGGGAGAGGGGACGGGGTCGGGGGCGGGGACGGGGGCGGGGGCGGGGGCGGGGGCGGGGGCAGAGGAAGAGGAAGAGGAAGAGGAAGAGGAAGAGGAAGAGGAATTCTTGTTTCTCTGCGAGGAAACTGAGAGGCGAATTAAGAACGCAATTTTAAATGCAGTGCGATTTTTTAAATTCTCGCCTTCGCTAAAACGTGTTGAGACTTTGGCTTTCGGCTGCGTGTGATGCGATTCGTTCAGTGCCTTTTTCATGACAAGGAGAAAAATGCCGGAAAAAAAATTGGAGACAATCATTACGTTTGATATGTGGCGAAAAGCTTAGAGCATTACTACAAGATCGTATTAAGGCAAGATATTTCCTGCCCACCCGTGTCACGGGGTCAGATTCCCTCAGAATTCGGTGATGAAAGGTCCGAGCCTCTAAGCTCGTGATTCCGTGAGTTGAAGGATCCGGAAAGAATTTTTTTTTTCTTACCGAGACGGACGCTTGGATTGTTCGCCCTTTCACCTGGATTCAGAACTTGTAAACAAACTCAGACTTGATCCCAGACATAAATGCCTTTTTTTGTTGTGAGATTTTACCAGAAGAAACTTCATATGCAAATAATGCAGGAAAAGTTTTTAAAATTACAAATTAATTTTATTCTGTAAAGGACTGTACCCTCTATTCAAGTTTGTGGATGGCCTCGAGCCTAAACACGATAAGATAATTAATTTCCAAGGTGAAGCGGAACCGACCTATCTCTAGTGGGAGCAGATCGATGTAGGCTATCTTTACTGATCCCGATTCCCTTTAACCTACATTTCGTGTCAGAGGGAGAAGTGACTAAACGGTAGATTTTCAAACGTATTTCTGTGGGTACCAACGTCTTTTCTTCGCTTCGTGTCTTCGTTGCTGAGGTTTCAACTTTTCCACTCGAACAGAGCACAGAAACGAAAAAATTTGCCCAAAGTTTTGTTCCCGATCGTTTCCCGACGGTTTCTGGTGGTTCTGGACTCGAGGGAATCGTGTGGGAGAAGATAAACTTGCCTCTTCTTACTTTCTGCCTCTTGGACGCACGAAATCGCGAAGCCGCCGCTGCTAAGAAGCTCAGCAAAAGCCGCCATCACCGCTAAAAGTATCTTCCCTCGACTGGGAGGAACGCATTAGCGGCACTGTGGCCAAGGCCATTAGAGCCCTTGCCTTGCTCAAACGTAACACGAGTAATGCTTCCAAGAAAGCAAAAGGCACCAGCTTACACATCCTTCCTCCGTCCCATTTTGGAGCTCGCAACTGAAATAATTTTTTGAGCTATGTGAATAGAGTTTCCCATTGTATTGCCTGGGGCAAGTAGGAAAATCGAGGATTCCAGGGAAAAGCTATGCCCCCCCCTATTTTTTTTTTAGCTTTAAGTATGCAATGGAATAAAAATATAAAATGGTTTTTGCCCGGCGAATTCCAAACCCAGCTTTCCACTGTTGCTGGCCGAGTGGAAGTCAGAGGACCTCTCGTAGGATTTCACCAACAGGCAGCAGAAATCCCGATCTCATGTAATTGTCTCGACTAAGCAGATCCGTTGAACCAGTGCATTGCACTGCAGGGAATAAAGGCGATGACGACCCGTCTACACGTTTCGAACTTCGATTACGGTGTCTCTCCTTCCTTTTCAATCCATCTACTGATTTTTTTAAAGAATTTTAAATACTTTTTTATTTTTAAATGTCATTGTACTGCACTGAACTTAAAAAAGTGCGAGGCTGGGAAAAGTCAACGGATTTGCTTCGCTTGAGGAACAGGCTTCAAATTCGAAACGCGACTACCATATATTCGATGGTTCCAAGATCTAAGATGTGAGAAAAACAGATGTTAAAATTTTAGAAATATGCAATGAATGAGTAAAACGGAAGGGTAAAACAAAAATGCCGTATTAAAAAAAAGAGGGGAATAAAAATCAGGAGAGGAGACAGTAGATCGACCAGCACTTCAAGTCTCGCAGAAAACCATTATCTTTCCATGTTCAACAGTCCTTGAAAGTTAGCGAATATGTTTGCTAGGTACGTAATCGATTGTTCTTTACGCTTCCAAGTTTCTGACAAAGCATTTCTTGCAAAACAATGCGATGTATCCGTGAAATGCGCATTTGCATTTGAAAGGAAATGCACCTGATGGCCGCAGGTGCGTCATTAGGACTCAAGTGGTGGTTTACTTTTTTATTTTTTTCACTTTCTCTCTCTCTCTCTCTCTCTGGTGAACTTCACCCTAAAGCTTATCTTAAATATCAGATTTTTATTTGTATTTTTTTTTTAAACAATGGACATGTTTAAAGAATTACTAGCTGTCAGCGTGGTTTTTCTTTTACTTGAACTATCGCTAAGCCGTTGAGGTGAAGGGCAATCCGCAATACTTCTTTGATTTTAACAAAATATGGACATATGGACTTACGGAAAATATGGACAACTATTCGAAATATACCTGTGTATGCGGCTATGACGCAAATACCCACAGCCACCTTAAGCCAAGGCGCCAATCGATACTATGAGTGTGGTTTCGATTTCGACACAAGGAAATGAACGGTTTTAGCTGCTATTAAGCTTCATTAATAAAAAAAAATCTTAAGTTTAAAATATGGACAAAAGTGTCTATATTAAGACGGGTTTGCAGGATGGGCATTGGATCTGAAATATGTACAGTCCATTCTATTATGGCAGCCCAGACACACAACGACTACTCAACAGCTTCTCAATAAACTCTCAAGGACGTGTGCATGATACCACGACTGTGACGCGATAGTTGAATCACCGAGGTTCACTGGGAAACCCGGATAAAAAGAATGAGGGGGAGGGGATGGGGGATGACGATGACTGGCGGCTGACAAGGGGGGCACGGCAGAGGCAGACACGCCATGGATGTGCGCAGGCGCAGGACTTGATGGCTCCCCGCACAATGAATTACGGAGCGTTTCACATTTTCCTTTCCAAACTTTTCTTTATAATAAGCCTCTTTCTGTGATACAAGCTAGCAGCTCTTCTAAGTCTAGTCAGAGACATTCCTGGGTCATAGCATATGATGAAGGTTACGGTCACTTTGACACCAGGCCCTGCCTGGTATTAACGGTAGGCCTAGACCCAAGCCTAGCCTAACTTCTAGCGAGTTCGTCACTTGGGTCCGACAATTTCTCACTCGATTCCGACACCTGTGCATGAGACGTTGGTCATGCACGACTGTTGTCGAGTCAAGTGGAAAATTGTCCAACTCAAGTGGAAAACACAAACCTAGGCGTAACGGCGAATACTTAAGCCGCCATATTCTCGGCGACCGTTTAGAGTAGGACCTAGTGATTATGAGCTTAGAACTTAGGAGCTTAGACCTTAGAATACATCACTTTGGCTTAACATTATTACATCTCTACTAGACCTGGATCTAATACTAACCTTGGCCTAAGCCTTGGCTTGGCTTGGCTTCAGTGGTAGCTGATCTCTGTTGAAAGTATTCTGAACTTAACCAAAGTGTTAGATCTAAACTTTGGCTTATTGCTATGCTGTGCATAAATAAATCCCTTGTCTTCCAATGTCTTTTCACAGACTCCTACACTCCCCATAGGTCGCCAACCCCGTTGGAACCGATCTCCATTAAAAAAAACAACCACTTTTTGGGCTAGCAGTATTTGGTAAAGGGGAACTATACCAAATAGCCTGCTAGCCCAAAATGTCAAACCTCATTTTTGATGGTCATTTGTTTATTCTGCCTCATTACTTTGTCAGGCTTCAGCTACTTTTTAACTGATAGGTGCCTTGGAACCTAGGCTTCTATACCAAGGTCATGCAGTACTTTTACATTGTTCATGATCATAATATGCTTCCTTTTTTTTTTTTTTTTTTAGCAATAATGTAGCTTATTGGTTGTTCCACAGAAATAGGGATGAAATTGTCAAACTGATAAATCCCATGTTTGATGCCAATTATTGATGGGCAATGCAATATTTGATTTTTACATACTGCATGGAAGTTGTACTCTAGTGCAATGCACTATAAATGGGAGTAATCCAGAAACTTTTCAGAAATTGTAATTTTTGGCAGTGTAACTTTGTGTAACAGGAGCCACAAGTAAATTTTTTATATTCTTTACTATCTTCAGATAGTAAAGAAATTCTGGTATGTAGACACCAAGAGACATCCTTTTGTTTGCCATAAAAGGGAGTTTAATGTTCCTGAAAAATACTGATAAGACATTTCTCTCTAAAAAAAAAAGTATAAATTTATTTCTAAAAATTGGCTCCCTGAGATTATTTCCTCTAAATGTAACATGAGTCAGAAGAATCTCAACTACTTTTTTCACTCAAGTGCTGTTTAGAAAATGTAATTATTATGGTTGGCAAAAGGTCAATGCCTATTATCTCATACCCCTTTGTCGGATTTCTCCATTAAAAACCAAGGAAGCATAGTGAAATTGATTGCTGAATTTTCTTTCAGAAAATGCATTACAAGTCATGATGGAATGACCCATAATTAATACTTTAGGCCATAATTAAGTGACTTGCATTTATATTCTGGAGTTCTTTTGCAGATGGTAAAAATGGAACCATGTAGTGATCTTGACAGACAAATAGAACAGTTGAGAAGGTGTGAGCTTATCAAAGAATCTGAAGTGAAAGCATTGTGTACTAAAGCTAGGGAAATCCTGGTTGATGAGAGCAACGTTCAGCAAGTTGATGCACCTGTTACGGTAAGACACTAAATTTGACAAAGGCACCTATGCCTGAAAAATACTCATTATTCACTGGACAACTGAGACTCACATGGTCAATGCTTTCAAGTTGTCACTCCTTTGTTATTGCATTGTTGTGCACCAATGTAAGAAAATTCCATAAACCCCCCATACTTAATAATTTCTGGTAGAATATGATCTGTGTTCATGACATCAGACCTTTAAGAGTAACGCTATAGGTTGTCTTCCAACCTATGGGATCTTGTGATCAAAATATATTTGAAAGTCACCTCCAGAAACATTGGCATTGTGCACTGAAGGGTTAATAGAGTTTTAGAAGATGCATGATGAAATGTGTTGTCTTTTTCAGGTTTGTGGAGATATCCATGGCCAGTTTTATGATCTCAAGGAGCTCTTCAAAGTGGGAGGGGATGTCCCAAACACCAACTATTTATTTTTAGGAGACTTTGTAGATAGGGGTTTTTATAGTGTGGAAACTTTCTTGCTTCTACTAGCCTTGAAGGTTAGCATTCATTTATAAATTAGCTATTCTTTGAAAAGGAAGTTTTTGCTGTAGCTTCTTCCATTTACCAATATATTTCTCTGCTGAGAATAGGTGAGATATCCTGACAGAATCACCCTGATTCGAGGGAATCATGAATCAAGGCAGATCACTCAGGTTTATGGATTCTATGATGAGTGCCTCCGCAAGTATGGGTCAATCACTGTGTGGCGGTACTGCACAGAAATTTTTGACTATTTGAGTCTTTCAGCCATCATCAATGGAAAGGTATGTTAACCTGTAGAACACTGCCTGAAAGTAGATCCATTCAAGCTGAAAAGCTAACATGTTTTTTTTAATTTATTGTAACTTCTTTGTTATCCATTGGTTTTTGGTTGCACTGGAAATTAAATGCATGTAAACATTGTGTATTTAAAGAGATCAATCCCACCATCTCCCATGCATAAAGAGATTCTGAATCTTTAAAAAAAATTTTTTATCTCTTTCCATGGCTAAGAACTACATGAAATCCTACCCTATCCTGGTAGGTCACATGAATGAAATAAATAGTTGTAATTATTATGTTCTTTAAAAGAAAGCTACAGAAAATATCCCCATAAAATGGTTATCAAAGTTACTAAAAGCAAGCTAAAAAGTTTGATCTTCCATTCAGTTTGATCTTTTGATCTGCCAGAAAATGGTTGGGTTCTTCATGGCATGGGACTACTTTGGTGCTAGGGAAATGACTAACAGCTACTTTTTATTGCATATAAATTTGTACTTTTTTTTTGGGTATTTGAATCACAAAACATGGATAAATGTGTAACTTTAATATCCAGTACCATTTTAAATAACATAATTTGAAAATAGCATTCAAGTACTTTAATATTGGTAAGTAGATTTTCATTGCATGATCTGCATGGTTGACTGATATCACTTGATTAAAGTCAGTCAAACATTAGAAATGGCTCCACTTTATCTTTGTTGCTCAATGCCTATTAAAAAGGATAATCTTGCAAAGTACATGCAATCAAATGAATCTTCATATAATTTTGCAAGTAGATTTAGTTAATACCATTTAGTTGCTGCAAGTGACTTGAATGATGGATTTAACCTGAACAAGCCTCATAACCTGCATTGTACATATGTGCATGAATGATTCTTCTATGTTGTCTAACACTGACAGGAAAAAAAGCATGTACAGATGGGTTTGTTTTCACCAAATGAGGCCTTAATAACAAAATTTCCTTTCTGTTTGCTTAGATCTTCTGTGTTCATGGAGGTTTATCACCATCCATTCAGACTCTGGACCAAATCAGACTTCTTGACAGGAAACAGGAAGTGCCTCATGATGGACCTATGTGTGACCTGCTGTGGTCTGACCCTGAGGGTGAGTTCTGGTCAAATATCATGTCATCTTTGTGCATCATCTTCAAATCTCATAATTCAACTGTCTCTTCTCTTTCATTAGACACACAAGGATGGGGAGTGAGCCCAAGGGGTGCTGGTTATCTCTTTGGTTCTGATGTTGTAGCTCAATTCAATGCAGCCAATGACATAGAAATGATCTGCAGAGCACATCAACTTGTGATGGAAGGCTACAAATGGCATTTCAATGAAACTGTCCTCACTGTATGGTCTGCCCCCAATTACTGCTACAGGTCAGACTGTGTTCTTTTTCATCTTAACTTTACCAATTTATTCTGATCCAATAAGCCATTATTCAAGAGGGATCTGACATAACTGATACCAATAAGCTTATGGTCTTTTCCATCTGAGGTTATGTGATACAACTGAAAGGTGGGATTGTTTGTAGTTGACTTAAATAAACCATTTTCACCACAGGTCAATGACCTAATGACCTTTGTTGCATCAATTTATGGGGATGAAACATCTTTCCCTGATCCTATTTCTGTCTAAAACTAGAAATTTTAGGCAAAAGTTTACTGCAGGAAAATGTTATCTTTATATAGCTTGTAATATGTGGGGCAACTATAATTGGCCCCACTCATGAGAAAGATAACCATGAGAGGTTTCTGATTTTGACTTAGGAGCAAACCAAATGCCATGCTTTCAACTAAATTTGGGATAGCCCCTACTTGCAATTAAAATAACTTCTCCATTCTTCCTTATACAATCTCCAAATACATACCTGAAAAGTTAAATACCACTACCTGAAGAAATACAAGACCAATGGTGGGATGGATTGGATGTATAGGATGAGGAAAAAAGTATAACCTGGTTAAACATCAGAATTATACTGATTCATGATTGAGGAGTTCTCTGGAAAAGGGGTGTATGGGCACATATGCCTTTTTTCCATATCCATGTCCATGTGCTGCTTTAGGTGACTAGTCATAGGATAGGGTGGTCAGCTAATAGTTAAGATGCGTATTCAGCAAAGGAAAAGCAGATTTTCCTATGCTCTCACTAAATAGCAGGCCAACTGCCTGGCAATTTCAATATGGCTGCCTCCATGAATATTCCATTAGCACTTGTATGCTGAATGATTTTAGCGGAATTATTTTCATCTTCATAAACTGAAAGTGAAAATGAGGAAGAAACCAGACATGAAGAAAGGAAAAGAAGGATGCAGAGTCATTTGAGCCTCTTGAAGGATGTGAGGAGTTGGAGATATTCTTGAAATAGTTGAAGATTCAGATGATGAATACATTAATAATGGAATCACTACTGAGTAATGGTGAATGAAACGTGTCCTGAAACATTTTTATTGCTATTCTTCAAGAAAGAGTTTATTTGAAATCTGTTGATGCATTTATTGATTAATTATTATTTTTAACTGGAAAGAAGTGGTGAAAAGTTTCTCATTGGAAAAAATGTCAGTAGTGCAGATATGGAAAAAGGGTATATGTGCCCATGTATGTCCCAACACACTTTCTGCCTGCATCCCAGCAATGTGAGATAAAGAAATTCATTAAAACCCCAAGTTCAATTGGAAAAATGTCCAATATACCATTTTACTGATAAGCTAGTTTTGACCAGCTTCAGATTAGCTATGGGAAGTTTATATTGTTTATCTTGAATTGCATCTTTTGCACATATGCCCTTTTTCTAGAGAACTCCTCAATTATGGATTGCCTGAGGAGTGTAAGGCAGTTCATGGTGAAGGAAGCATGTATTGATTGATTCAAAAGGGATTCTGGTAGGAAAGAGATGATCAGTGTGCAGAGAGAAAAAGCTGTGGGAAGAAGGATATACTTGGATCTTGGGTGGGACCAACCCTAAGAGACAGGTGGAGCATAGTTGGGTGCATTTTTGTTGCATTCAATTTGGCATTTAATCCAAATGTCATTTCCCCTGGGGATACTCGTGTGTGCACACCTTTTGCTTGTCTCTGTAAGCAAGGCATCTATTACTTATATCCAAATGGGGCATCTTCCACATTGTGTTTCATGTCTATGGATACACCATCAACTGGAATGTTGATTCTCTCTTTTAGCATCCATTTATGTCTCTCCTCTACCCTTGTTGGTCCCAAGACAAAGATGCTAAGTTGCTCTATTAATTCGCTCCAGAAACTGATTTTCTAGAGAAATATGTGTATTGGCTTATTGGTGGGCTAATTGCATTAGTTCACTGATAGAATTGATGGCAGTTATCAGCTTTGTTTTAAATGGTCACATAAATATCAATAACATCCCAAATTAGAACTGGAGGTCTCATGATGAGGGTGGTATTTCTCTTTGTAGATGTGGTAATGTAGCAGCAATACTGGAGCTTGATGAAAACCTCCAACGTGACTTCACGATATTTGAAGCAGCACCACAAGAATGTCGAGGAATCCCTTCCAAGAAACCTCAACCAGACTATTTCTTGTGAGTTGTGTGACCAGGACATATAAGTCATGAATGCAACCGACATGTCTTTCTTGTGCTTCCATATCTTGAGAGTTCTCACTCGGCCTACCGAGCGAAAGTGTCATGATGGCTCTTCATCTCTAAGGACCAAGGCATTCTTCATTACATTGTGTTCAGGTATTCTGAAATCGAATAGGTCTTTTTTTCCCCCTGAATATACTGTTCAATAGGGTAAGAATGACTTTTTTGACCTACTTGGAAGATTCATTCATGAGAAGATCACCACACTTCATTTATCACATTTGAATATTTCAGTCATGATTTTTCCATACCATGTCCAATAAATGACATTTTGCATAAACCTTAATGAAGGTAGAGCTTAGGCAGGACTTCTCCACACCGTGCAGAGACCTTAAGGTCAGCAAAGTGGTCAGCTCGAGTTGGGCCAATGTTCACAATTGCAATTGGTATACAATGTTCTCTTGCTTGCAATAAAATCCGATAGCCTGAGTAAACATATAGAGATGAACCAGCAACCAGCACAGCATCACTTTCACTCACCAATGTTTTCACTTGTTCAACTCTTGCCTTTGGAACATTATCACCAAAGAACACAATGTTGGGCTTCATGATTCCAACTTGACAAATGCAACAGGAAGGGACCTTGAAATTTCTCACCACTTCCTATTGAAATAGAGAGCAAAATTTCTGAAATGTGAAGGCTGAGCAACTATGAGAAATCTGCAGTAAGCTTTCTTAACTCACATCTTCTATCTCCACGTCACCATCAGGTCGTACATTAGTTTTGGAGTGTTCTATATGAGGGTTTAGCTCTCTGAGTATGTCTTGAAATGTATGCCGATCCAATGCATGACCACATTTCAAACAGAGAACTTCATAGGCTGTCCCATGCAACTCAATGACTTCATGACTTCCAGCCTTGCTATGTAATCTGTCCACATTTTGAGTAACAATCTTCTGGAGTCTAGGGTTGCTCTCCCACATGGCCAAGGTCTTGTGCCCTGCATTTGGCTGCATGGAGGCAAATTTTGGCCATCCTACATAATTCCGAGCCCAATACCTGTAAATTCAATTGGAAGGCCAATCACTATTGATGACAACAGAAAGCCTTTGCAATTTTTGCATTTTGTGATTATCTTTACATCTTCAATCTCCTTTAATCATTATTGAATTTTCAACCTTTGTCTGGTGGGAGGACTCTTCAGAAAGTCTTGATATTGAATGGGTCGCCTAGTACTTGTAGCATAAAGTCCCACACCTTCTGATCGATAATCAGGAATCCCACTTTCAGTTGAGATTCCTGCTCCAGTGAGAACAAGAAGTTTCTGACAGCGATCAAGAAAGTCTTGAAGAGAAAATATCTGGTGATCTGAGGCTGAATAATGTCTTGGTACAAACTGAAAGGATGCTAGTAAAGAATTCTGAGTAAAGGAAGCTGTCCTCATGGTTTTGGCAGCTTGAGGTACCAGTCACACCTCCTTTCCTCAAAATACCTACACTGAGAAAGAAAGATATCAGACTTCATTGCTAAATATAAATTCTTTGTCAAGTGATATTAAGAGTACATACATACAATCTCTGGAATCAGTGGGTTCACCCTGACTAGCCTTCATTGCAAATGCAATTGTGCAGTCATGCACATCAGGCTTGCTTGTTAAACTTACTCTGAGACTCCTGGATGTAGTGCTCTTGTAGATTTGTTAACTTCTTGTGTTCTGGAGACAAACCAACTTATCTTCAGTAAGCTTAAAATTAACATAGCTCTTGGTATCTGAAGAGGAGTGTTACTTACCCAACTTTATATTTCCTCTGGAGGTACAATAAATATTCCTTAAAATAAAATTTATTTACCCAAACCATGAATTATTTTAAGCTAAGGTTAACATGGTTTCAATGAATGTCAACTTTCTAAGTGTTGATGTTTTGCTCAGCTGTTTCTAATAATCTAAACTTCAAATTTCAACTCCAATAGATAGATTGATAACTTGATTTAGCATGTAACATGATATCAAGCATATAATACAATATCAGTAGCTGTCATGTACCCAGCATCAACATCAATGGGGACCATCAAGGGAGCCTTGAGCTTTCTTGAGCATCTGAATACTGAGGAACTCAATCAGTTTTACAATGACTCCAGGATTGAAGACTTGGTGAAGGACATACCCCAGGTTAGCTCTCTTGTGAAGTTGATGATTGCTTTTGAAGGGTTCTTGCACTGACCTCTACATTTATTGGTATCTGTATTTTCAGGTTAAGAACTTAGAAAGCGAGAAAGAAGTTCTGATGGCCAGCAACAAGTCACTTGCTGAGTTCAACCTAAAACATGAACTTCCACTAGGCATGGCAAGGGAGCGGCTCATTTCCAAGAGTGAAAAAGCTCAAGAACTCCTTTCTAGGGTGGAAAGGAAAAAGGTTGAACTTGGTGAGCACCTTATAAATGATAAAACCTTCAAACATAAATCATAAAATTTGCCATGATTGAGTAACTGCTTTCTTGCAGAGAGTCTATCTGAAGGGCAGTCTTTGGACACAATACATGCTCTCATGCAAGCAGCTGCTTCTGAAGCTGATGGAAAGAGCGAAGTAAGTCAGCAGCAACATGTTTTCTGCAAGAGCTTTCATATTTAGTTTTGATTCTCAATTGAAAAGAAAAATATGATTGAAATACTTTTAAATTTGCCACAGGACCTGGTGGAGAAGTTTCTAGATGGTTCTATGGATGTTGAGACCTTCCTAGAGAAATACCCAGAAGTCAGAAAAATGGCTCATCTTCGAAAAGTCAGGGCTGACAAAATGGGAGAACTGCTGGCCCAGCAAGAGGGAAATCGAAGATACTCCTCATCCTTGCCAGGTGCATTTGCGAATATGAATGTGCTAAGCAGTGCCTCACCTCCTTATCCCTTGCCTGGGAGTGTACCCTATCCTCTGAACCCAACTATGCCAATGCCTGCAATGCCATATGTAACTCACAGATGAACACTATATTTCATTTTGAAGGATTTCCATTTTACATGTTGATATTGCTATAAATGGTTGCCATTTCACTGCTGGATTGATGAGTGAGAGAATACATTCACGGGAAGTGACTTCAATGAATGCAACTCATGAGACTTCTTTATTATTTTAAACATGACTTGACTTGGAACCAAATAATCATGAAGGAGCAGGTGTTCATCTATGATTTTCCACATTTATCACAGTTACAAATCATCACCTGTCTACCCGATCTTTGGATTTTTGAGGTTGTTTGATATTATCAAGCTCTGAAAGTCCACGGGCAATTTTTATAAAAGAAGCCACCACAAAGATGATTAGACTCAACAAGAATAGGAAGTGAATCTGAGTGTGCTTCTTGGCCTTGGCAGCCATCATGTCTTCATAGCGTCCCTTTGCTGTAGCCCTCCTTTGAAATGTCTCTGAGTAGTGTGCCTTGGTCCATTGGTCAAAGTCATATGCAGCAGTTCGTCCAGTTGCTGGCCTCCTTCTTGGCTGTCGTACATGAATCTGTTCATCTCGCTCCTCAGACTCAAAAGTGCTTTCTCTGAAGTTTGTTGCAGTATGCAAGAGTCCTTTGTCATAAAGTTTCCTTAGCTTGGTATTCCCAAGCACTTCATAGGCTTCCTTGATCATGCGAAAATTCTCTGCTGCCCCCTCTCCTCCAAGTTTGTTTCGATCTGGGTGATAGATCTTTGAGAGTCTGTAGTAAGCCTCCTTTATCTGAGACTGAGTGGCATTTTGACGAACTTCCAGTGCTTCATAGAAGCCCTTCAAATGCACCACACACATGAACAAAGACCTTACAGTACATCTCTGCACACAGAGTGAAGCACACAGTCCACTGAAGTATTGTGTTCCAAGCTGACTAAACAGTCCGTACTGGTTACATGGAAGTCTAAATAGTCCACCATTTTTTGAGACTTGCAAGCACAATGAAGCAGTAAAAAATTGCATCTTTTGGGAAGAAGCCAGTCACCACTAAGGGCTTCACTACTAGGAAGAAATCTATATTGCTTCTAGCACAATCAAGGGAGAGGGGATTAGGGCCAAGAATGCCTTTCTAATAGCTTGGTCTATGGTAGCCTTGAGACCTTGTCACACAAGGAAGGTCTTTTGATGCAATTGCCTTTAAAGAATATTGCTTTAAAAAAAATTTGTGGTAATATTGAGTTCCAGTGAGTCATATTTACCCTTCAGTCTTTGGAGTAGTCTAGATGAAGAGACAAAGACCTTGAAAATGTTTGTGATGCACAGGTTTTCCATCATGTCGCACTGAGTGGCAAGTCAAGCATTAGAAGTTGAGATGCAAATGGAGGTGGAGATTGCACTAAATATGGATTTTTTTTTTTTTTATAAAAACATTAGACATGGGGTTTTGTGAATATCCTGAAACTTGTAGTCACTGTTTTTTCAAAGGTAGGAAAATATAAGTTGAATAATGGGGGAAAGCAAAATAATTTTTAATTTGAAGTTTTCTTGTGCATGGAAAGCTGTGTGAAGGTCTTGGAAAGGTCACAAAACACATGGTAGGTTTAATGAAAAATAAAAACAAGTCACAGAGTGCAATGAGATCAGCCTGGGGGGGGAGAGGGGAGATTTCATCTTCTTAGAGATGAGAGGAGACAGAGCAGGTGGCCACTCAATTCAGTCATGGATGCTAGTTGACCCCACCCAATATATTTCATTATCACTGAGATATTGTCATTTTATGATTGAATATTTTCAAACATACCTCTTACTTCCAAATGCAATACTAGAAAAACAATGTGTCATTAATGATCTGATGAAAGGAAATATGTAACTCCAAACATTTCCAGGAAGGCGAGAATTAATCCTTTTTTGGAATACAGGAGAGTAGAGGAATGTTTAGCTTTGTAAAAGCAAGCAGAGAATGGTTAGAAACTGTTATAATTGCATATCCATGTCCTGGACTGTAATTGATGGGTCAAGCCTAACTTGTTCCTGAAACTTCTTGAAACATATATCCCTCTGCCCATCCAAAAGGATGAAACCTATATTCCTCAAAGTGAAAACACTTTGAATGCACCATAGAATACATCTAGCTGCTCTCACTCAAGTCCCAGCTTGAAGTTGTTTTCTACCTCATATAATCAGGAGTATCCCAGTTAAAGATGCCCCATAGGGCAAGACACCTTAGGGCAGGGGTTCTCAAACTGGGGGGCACAACAGGTAAAAATTTCAGGCAGAGAAAAATTTCCAAAGATGTTTCTCTTTCAAGTCTTTGGAAATTAGATTTGTGTTGTTACTGTTACTGTTACTGTCCTGTCCAGATTCAATCATTTGTGGGCTCAGAAGCATGTGAGCATCATTCTCATTAAATTAGGCGAATGATCATCTGATTCTTAGTTGCGATACGGTTCCTGAACTGTTACAATCTGTTTCCTATTTTTTCAATCATCATATGAAAAAAGGATCCGTGGGGTTCAGTTTCTGGGTACTTCTGTCAAAGAGAAAGGGGGGCATGACACTGGACCATAGTCATTAGGGGGGCACAACACTGAACCAGAATCACTAGAGAGGGGGCACAACACTGAACCAGAGTCACTAGGGGGGAGCACAACACTGAACACTAGGGGAGGTGCAGGGTAAAAAGTGCTGCCTTAGGGTTCGAATGAAATTTTTTCTATTTTGCTCCATTAAACTTGGGTCATGACAGCTTTCCACCTATTTTTAAGTAAATAATTTAATGATTTAAACTCAGAATTTTCCATACTTGCTGCATGGGATAATGAGTTCAGAGATATTTAGGAGGGACAATAACATCTTCAGTAGGTACAGAAATGGGGAGTTCTCTTTGGAAAGAAATAGTAACCAAACAATCAAGGAAAATGTCTACACTGGAAAGGTTTCTTTGCAACTCTTCTTTGATAGTTGACTTCTAAAGAAAAATTCTCTGGTTAGGATATCTTCAAAAGCATTGCCATCAGTTAGTTGGGCCATTAAAAGGTTTATGCTTGCATGCAACAGACCCTTATTATGGTGTATGCATCCAATCTTCTGGCATTCTCCAACCCTTGTATGCTTCTATATGTTTCAGATGCATAATAATGTCAAAAAAATGTAGAAGTCCACTGGTCCTGAGAACTCTTGACACATGGTTCCAAGGATATTATTTTCCAATTGACTCATTGTAACCAATAAATAAATAATTATAAATAAAAATTGACTACCTGATACATCCCCATATCAAGCAAACTCTGATATCCCTTGTTCTGACAATTCTGGTAATCCACTTCCCACAGGAATCAATAATGGCCAACAAAATGCAATAACACTAATGACTCATAGGCATAGCCTTAGGGCCTAGCCATTTTTCTTTGTTGCATAAACTTTCCATTCTCTCTTAGTGTGGGGTATAGTGGCTACGTAATTATGGAGAGCAATAACTTTCACAACTAATGTTGGATGTAAGGTTCACAAAAAGGTATAAAACTAATTAGGCTAATTTTATCAATATTTTACATTCTTTCAGTTAACTGCAATACTCAGGGCATGAATGAGAAGCACTATAGGCTAGATGGGTGCATTAGACATCTGGAAGTGTGTTAGACTTAAAATATCTAGAAGATAGGATGGGTCAATCTGTGCGCCAAGACTGACATTTTTGGGTGGAGTAACAAATGAATTGAGTATATGCAGTTTCAGACTCCATTAGTACTTCTCAGATTGGGTTTATCAGCGAAAGTTGGGCCTACACCCAAATACAAATCCTATTGCAAGCCATCAGTGAAACTCATTTGAGAAATGTATTAATTAATTTCTTAAGAGTATGATGAATCTGATCATGTAAGATGTCATTCAAAATACATCAGTGATGCACAACCTTTATTCAATAAAGGACGAAATACAAATGTCGAAATTTCATGGGCTGCAGTTACTACTGAAGGTCGTATCTATCGCATATGCCAATTAATGAGACGATAATATTATAATGAGATGATAATATGTCTGCGGCGGCTCGAAACTATCTCCAGTGGTGGTGTTTGACATTGTATCTATCATGTATATATTCATTTGATCAAAATGTAGGTACCGATATGTTTGATTTTTAAAAATATTTGAGGACGTCTAAGGACAGCAAAATGTTTCATCTGGGGCCATGAGTTGTGCATCACTGAAATACATTTAAGACTAATGGATGAACAAAAATGCATGGCTGTACATGATGCACCGATCCGAAGCAAGCATGAACAGAGATCATGTATTAGGTCTGTTCGTGTGCATCGCCATGACAGATGAGGGCACCCCTGCCCAGTAAAGCAGATAAACTCCAAGTCCATTTTGGAGCTCATCTATCGGCTTACTGTTTACTGCATGATTTCATATTATTCTTTGCACCATTATTCTCCCATCGAGCGATATTACTATCGCAAAGTCGAATGTCATGGACATGTGAGACGCGTAGATTGAACATCGTGCATCTGTGTACTATGGACACGTGCTATCAGCGGCGGGAACCAGGGCTCACTACTGATCGAAAACCGTACATACGCGCCAGCTGGAAGAGATGGTGGTTGAATTCCGTACAACCTGAAAGGGCCGTCACAATCTAGCCAGTGTTCGGCATGGAGGAGAGGTTTGTTTTTCGTTCCCTAAAACACATCACTTTGTGGTCTGGATATCATGCCACCAACCTGAGTTGTCTGTTCTCTTCTAGCCTATGTAACTGGTGTCATGAAGTGGTAGACGATCCAGAAAATATGCAATTTTGACTTGTGTAGAGAGAGTTGGTGAGTGGCTGTGTAGATGGGATTGCTAGCTACACTTATGAATGCCAATCCAATGCATTGTGCTCTTTTGCCTATCCCAATCTCTACCAGCCTGTCACATCATCCATCCATATCCAACAGTCACCAAAAGAAGACTCACTGTTGGACTGATTGTTTATATGTGTGGCCTAAACAAAACCTTCATACCTTAACTCACCAAACTCAATTCCAGTCACTAGCTACCTTGTGCCTACTGAAAGTAGGAAGAGGCAGCAAGAATTGAACCTATGACAGTCAGCAATGGAGTTCAAATTATGACTCCTGTTCTAACTCTCACTGTCGATAGAATGGAAGTAGAGTTATAGGCTCAAAGAGACCCAACACCACATCCCATGCAGACACATACTTGCCCATGCTGGGGGGCCTGCACTGCCTTGACTTATCTGGCATGGGCATTCCTGATGTCTCCTTGTGTTGGTGTGCTAATTGCAACTCCAACAATTAAGTGTTGTGCCACTGGAATCCATGGTGAAAGTGACAGCAAAAGCAATTATTGTATTATAAGATGGAATGCAACCATTAACTGAATTAAATGCACACTTCCACCCTGTCAACATCTATAGTCAGGAACGAGGAAAGGTGCTGGAATGGAAAAAAGTACACTGTCTAGAAAAGATCCACCTTGGTGGGAAAGAGGAAGATCACATACACTTGGATACAAGCAAGTGTGAGAGAGTAAGAATGGCCTTGCCTCCTGGATGTTGGGAGTTTTTATTTCCCACTTCCAGGTCAAGAGGATATATCTTGGAGGGGGAGATGATGTGACTTCTCCCCTCAATACCATTATTTGCAGTCACACTTGTCTGAGGGGCCACACTGGGTTTGAGGTTGCCTTGTTTATATGTACTCCCTTGAGTATAAATAAATTATAATTTCTAGATTGGAGGAGTCTTCTGAGAGGCAGCTGACATATGCAGTGCAAAATGATCTCATCGATACCAAGTATGACTTTGATCGCTACAAGGGAGGTGAAGAGAGAGTGGGCTGGCTCATCAATATGCACCCGGTTAGTAGTAATTAAGGTGTCCAAAATCCAATTGTTACTTAGGCATTTTGATAAATTTGTTCCAAATGTCAATTTGTTGAACTGTTTGGTCTGTTCAATCTATTTCTTTTCTGTCTTATTCCCTGGCAGACGGAAATTCTTGATGAGGACAAGCGTTTGGTCAGTGCAGTTGATTACTATTTTATTGAAGAAACAGGTGCTCGATTCAAAGCTACTCTGCCATATCGCCCTTACTTTTATATATTACCCAAAGAAGGATCCACCCAAGAAGTGACTGCCTTTCTTAGCAAGCGCTTTGCTGGAATAATCACTTCTATTGACCCTGTTGCAAAGGAAGACTTAGATCTGGTAAGTTTATGTATTTTTGTATTAGCAAAAAATTTGTAAAATAAATCTCTTTTTTTAAGGATAGGATTTTTTGCAAAAAGTTATGAAACAAGGAGTGGAATCATAATGTCATTCTCATTCTATTATAGCCCAACCATTTGATAGGACTCCAGCAAACATACCTGAAGTTGTCATTCATGACTGTGAATGACTTGGTTAAGGTGCGCAAAGAAATCATGCCTGCTGTCCGAAAAAATCGGGAACAGGAGAAGGCTTTAAATCCCTATGAAGCAGTGACTGGTGACCGTAGGGCTAGGAACAATCCTGTAAACAAGGCATCTGACCATAGGGAGAACATTATTGACATCAGGTGAGTCATACTACTAGTTTGTGCTTACATGATTTTCAGAATCTTGAATTATTAGAGGTTTAATATTTTTTTAGGGAATGTGATGTCCCATATCATGTACGGGTTTCCATCGACCTGAAAATCTTTGTTGGCCTCTGGTACTCTGTGCGCATCATCAGGAATAAGATTCCAGAGATCAAGAGAGTAGATCTGGTTGAACCTCCAGATTGCATTGTCCTTGCCTATGACATTGAAACTACTAAACTTCCACTGAAGTTCCCTGATGCAAATACTGATCAAGTGATGATGATATCATATATGATTGATGGCCAGGGATATCTGATCACAAACCGAGAAGTTGTAGCTGATGATATTGAAGACTTTGAGTTCACCCCAAAACCAGAATTTGAGGGGCACTTCACTATTTTCAATGAACCTGATGAAATGTCACTCTTACAGAGGTTCTTTGATCATATTTTGGATGTTAAGCCCCACATTTTTGTCACCTACAATGGTGATTTCTTTGATTGGCCTTTTGTTGAGGCACGAGCAGCTTTCCATGGGTTAGATCTTTTTCGAGAGATTGGGTTCTCCAAAAACAGAGACGGAGTCTACAGTAGCCGCCCAGCATCACACATGGACTGCTTCTGGTATGTTTGTCTCCAACCTATCCTAGTATACTTGACTAAACCTTTGACTGGGTATGATGCCCTAATTTTAAAATATGTATTCATTGGGGAACTCTTATCAATGTAATATTTCTTCCTGTGGAACAGGTTAAAATTATTATATGAAGTAGTGTGTTGTTTGTAAGGCTCAGTAAGGAAAAATCCATAAATAAATGAGCAGAGAGGAGATTTATATTTCTCAGGAAAGGGGTTAAAGCTTTGTCGCTTCACTAATCTCATTGAAGAAATATTTTATATTTTCTCCAGCTGGGTGAAACGGGATTCTTATCTACCAGCTGGCTCCCATGGTCTTAAGGCTGTTGCTAAGGCCAAGTTAAGGTATGACCCAGTGGAATTGGATCCAGAAGACATGGTTCCACTTGCAGCTTCTGATCCTCAGCGATTGGCTTCATATGCTGTCTCTGATGCACTTGCGACCTATAGCCTCTACATGAAATATGTCCATCCTTTCATATTTGCTCTTTGCACCATCATTCCAATGGAACCTGATGAAGTAAGTGACCTGAGACTGCCCTTCTTTGGATATTTATTCCTTTCCAAATTATTATCCTGTCTTCTCATGATTGTGCGTGAATACATAGGTCTTACGGAAGGGGTCAGGAACTTTGTGTGAAGCTCTCCTCATGGTTCAAGCATTTGCTGCTAATATAATCTTTCCAAATAAGCAAGAATCAATTCTAAATAAATTGACACCTGATGGGCATGTCCTGGATCAAGAGACATATGTTGGAGGTCATGTTGAGGCACTGGAGTCTGGCATATTTCGTGCTGACCTTCCTTGCAGGTTTCGAATGGTTAGTTGGATCTTGTTGCTAAAGCTGTTCCCTTGCATGATTTTTTGAAGCATTAATTTTCTGTAAACAAATCTGTAGGTGCCTGAGGCATTTCAGACGTTGGCAGATAAAGCATGGCACACAATGGCGCATGCTATTACTGAGGAAGAAGGTATTCCCCTTGATGATGTTGAGAATCTTAATGAGGTTGTAGAAGATATTGTGAAGAAGCTTCACGATCTCAGGGACACATCTTCTCGAGTGGAAAATCCTATAATTTACCACTTGGATGTTGGTAAGAAATAGTGCTTTTTTTCTGTGGATGGCTTTTGCTCTCGTTTGCTTTCATCCATTAGACACCGCATACAATTTTCACACAGGGGCCATGTACCCAAACATCATTTTGACAAACAGACTGCAGCCCTCTGCAATTGTAGATGAGGCAATATGTGCCGCATGCAACTTCAATCGTCCTGGTGCTCGTTGTCAGCGAACTTTACCATGGAGCTGGCGTGGAGAAATCAGTGAGTTTATCTCTAGAAATTTACCTATTCCCACTAGAAAAGCTAATCGTGAAGGCAGATGCAGATAATTCTCTAGGATGTTGAAACTTTATGGGAACTGTATTCTACCCACTACAATATATATATATTTCTTTGAAGTCTTTCTGACCAAATATACATGCCTAGCCTTTCTACCAAAATTTGATCAAATGGTTCTGTTATGTGAGACTTCGTTGACTTAAGTACCAGAGTTGAATATTTTGTTCCTTCCTGCCATAGTGCCAGCTAGCCGCAGTGAACTTCAGAGAATACGTCAGCAGTTGGAATGTGAAAGGTTCCCCCCATTGGAGCCAGGTGGTCAGCCTCGCCCCTTTCATAACCTGAGCAAAGAGGAACAAGCTCAGATTGAGAAGAAGCGGCTGGCTGAATATTGTCGTCGTGTATATCGCAAGGCCCATGTTACCAGGACAGAGACCAGGCACACCACCATCTGTCAGCAAGAAAACAGCTTTTATGTGGATACTGTGCGAGCTTTCAGGGATCGGAGATACCATTATAAAGGACTCCATAAGGTGGACATTGACATACCTACATTTGTAATCAGGATTTATGTTTGCTTTGACCCTTGTTTTCCTTGTCTGACATGAAGGATGCCAAGAAGCAGGTGACAGAGGCCTTGGAAAAGGGTGATTCAGCAGCTATTAAATCTGCTAAGAGTCGTGAAGTCCTATATGACTCTCTTCAGTTGGCCCACAAATGCATTCTAAACTCATTCTATGGTTATGTCATGCGAAAGGGGTACAAACTTTAACTCCATCTCTGCATTGTGTCTTAATGTATTTTTGACAGTCTTTTCAACCCTTCCTCCATACCATGTTGTCACAGTGCTCGATGGTACAGCATGGAGATGGCAGGGATTGTTTGCTACACTGGAGCTAGCATCATCACTAGAGCTCGAGAGATCATTGAGCAAATTGGTCGTCCCTTGGAACTGGATACAGATGGGATTTGGTGTGTCCTTCCTGCATCCTTCCCAGAGAATTACACTATCCATACACGCAATGTAAAGAAGCCCAAGGTCACAATCTCTTATCCAGGTGCCATGCTCAACATAATGGTGAAGGTAAGTTAGTGTTAAATTTTTACTTGATCTGTTTATTCATGTTATTACCTGCTCCTGCAATCTTTGAAATTATACATTGCCTCCCATGTCCTATATGAGGAGAGCAGATGGATAGGGATCTTGTCCCAATCCTGATGCCCATAAAATTCATGAGATTTTTATTGATTTTCACAGGAACACTACACAAATGACCAATATCATGAACTGACAGACCCTTCCACACACAAATATTCAATTCGCAGTGAAAACTCCATCTTCTTTGAAGTAGATGGTCCTTATCTTGCTATGGTTCTACCAGCTGCCAAAGAAGAAGGAAAAAAGTTGAAAAAGCGTTATGCTGTCTTCAACTTTGATGGCTCCATGGCAGAACTGAAGGGGTAAGTGTGTAGTTTCCATATCAGGAAAGGCTTGCTATCCTCAAAGGCTGATGATAAATGCTGTTAGGTTTGAGGTGAAGAGGCGAGGAGAGTTGCAGCTAATCAAGATTTTCCAGTCCTCTGTATTTGATTCTTTTCTCCATGGGGTTACTCTGAGTGAATGCTATCAGGCTGTTGCCAAGGTGGCAGACTACTGGTTGGATGTCCTTTACTCCAAGGCTAGTTATACCCTTACAATTTGAATAGAAATTGATGCTTTCTTCTTTCCTTGCATTGTTCTGTACATTATAAATTTTCTTTTCATCACACTAGGCTGCCAACATGCCTGACTCTGAGTTGTTTGAACTGATCTCAGAAAATAGGAATATGTCACGGAAGTTGGAAGATTATGGAGCCCAAAAGTCAACTTCAATCAGCACTGCAAAGCGACTAGCTGAATTTCTTGGAGATCAAATGGTTAAGGATGCAGGTCTTGCTTGCAAATATGTAATCTCTAGGAAACCTGAAGGAGCTCCTGTGACAGAAAGGTGAGTTGTTGTCATTCCAAATTCTTTCTTCCAATTGATTATGCTAGGCAGGAAGTGTGTGCCAGATGTGTACCTCAGCAGCTTTCTCAAAACTACAAATAGGTTTGAAATCACCCCTTACAAGATGTGGTGGCACAGTGTATCTCAGGTTCTCTCACTAAACTCAACTATCCCTCATGCCAGATTTATGAAGATCCAGCAGCAACTCATGGCTGCCCTGTGATAGTGATGGCCAGTTCTTGTGATGAAAGTCATTACACCACACTGGAATACAAGACCTTATTTAACTCTAGCACAAGTTGAGAGAGAGAGAGCTGCTGAGGGAATTTAAATTGAAAAGTGGTTTGAAGAAATATAACCAATTCTGCATCTATATATAAAGGTGACTGTGTCCATGATGAAAGATAATGCAATGAAAATTTACCTATACTTCCAGAGCAACTGTCACATAATATAAGGAAGTAATTATTTATATCCTTTGGAATGGTGGGTAAGATTCATCCTCTCAGAGACTTCTTATAAGGATTGGGTTACAAGCTTCTGTGCAAGACCACCTGAATTTCTGTTTTGAAGTTTCATTGCACCTATCACCTAAGCCTCACGTTTCACTACCATGTACATGGCTAAGAAATCTACACTCCCAGGCTTGAAATTTATTGAATTCCTGTTCCTCTCAACTTGCAACCAGGACATTGTCCAACTCATAATGGATCTGACTAATAAAAGAAAAACCTCAGGAATAGTGAAGAGTGCAAATATCCCTATTTAGTAGACTGTTCTTCAACCAATCCAGGGTGAAAATTTAAATTTTTTATAAATGAAAGCAATTTCACTTTGAGAATCTTGATATACATTCTTTAGTATTTTCAATTATTTTATTATTCCACACCAGGGAAAACTATATGGGTCTTGTGAAAGATATAGTGTTACTCTTGATTATTTTGCCTGTTCTATTCCCTTCTCATCATCTTTCTGGATATTTTTTAGTGAATTTGGAATAACTTTGTATTTACTTGGATTGAGTAAATGGGAAGCTGAAAATGTTTGTATGGTGCATTGCTGTCGTCTCAATTAAAGTCAATCCAAATGCATGTAATAATTCTGGTGTATGGGTTCAAAGCAGTACTGTTGTTTTTATTTTATTTCCATCCTTGTTATCTTTGGAAATCATGTTGCTTGTTGGAGAGAATGGAGCTCCAAGAGAAGGCTGTAGAATGGGCAATTGTAGTGAGACAGTGGAAGTTAGCCTAATGAATCCACAGCCCCTATCACCTGTTGCACAATGGTGTCAAAAGGAGCAACAATGTTCTCATCACATGGTTGATGCTGAGAATCAGTGCCTTGTGTGTCCTTTGAATTTTATGCCTCAACTGCAAGCTAAAACAATAGAAAAGGAAGTACTAAATATGACTTTGTTTCCCCATTAAATTGTCAATGGATGTGTCTTGAGATTTTCCTGTTTTATTATGAACAGGGCAATTCCTTTGACCATCTTCCAAGCTGAGCCCAGTGTGAAAAGGCATTTCCTCCGCAAGTGGCTTCATGATTACTCACTAATGGATCCAGATATCCGTGAGATCTTGGATTGGGATTATTACATTGAACGACTTGGAGGCACCATTCAGAAGATTATTACAATTCCTGCTGCACTCCAGGGGGTCTGCCAATCCATATCCAATACTACTAATCTTGCTCTTCTGCATAGTTATGGCTGAGATATATGTTTTTTCATTTCCTGTGTATAGGTGAGCAATCCTGTGCCACGAGTGGCTCACCCAGATTGGCTTCACAAACGTCTTCTTGAGAAGAATGATTCCTTAAAACAGCGACGAATCAATGAGATGTTTCTGTCTATGCCGAAGCCTATTAGAGGAGGGCCAGATGATGAATTGCAATCTCAACAAAAAGAGACTGCTGAAATCTCAGAATCTCCTCAGGTACACTTTCCACTGGGGAGAGGAATACTACTGCAATTAACTGTCTTTAATTTGACATATGTAGTAAGTGCATATGATGAGGCATCCATTATCATAGGTGAATGACATGGAAGACTTTGGGAAGAAACGCATGAATGGAGAAAATGATGTTCGACCCATAATCCCTGTGAGACGAAAGGCTTCTGAAAAAGTAGACCAACAATCACTACCTGCTCGCAACTGGAGGGATGCTCTGGGCCTGCCTCCACGAATGGGGAAAAGCAGGGTAAAGAGAAACTCTATGTCTTTAACCTCCCTGGCGGTATGATTCTGTCTGGAATTTTGTACCAAAAGCTGTACAATTTTTTACATGCAAATTTGTTGTTTTATGTTGTAGGCCTGTAATTCTTAGGAATTACTCACTTAAACCTGACCAAACAAAGATTTTAGTAGACATCCCAGGTGTGATAAAATTTGAAACACAAAATCATAATAAATAATGTCATTTTATTACATAACGCAACCAAAACTAAAGCAATTCAGCAAACAGTAGAAATTTATCAAGCAAAGAAAAATTAATACACATCCTGGGTATGGTATATTTTAAAGCAGGGGACCGCACAAAGACCGACGTCACAGTCAGGACAGTAGTATCTGGTTTCCTTGCGGACTTTCTTCCCATTGCCATCTCGCTTTGAGCAGCACACTACGCACATCTTGGTAGGTGCTGCCTTTTTTTGAGTTGGCGGGATGTAGTCCACAAAGTGACGTCCAGTCAATCGCTCAGGGTTGACAACGTCAACAGCACGTCGTCCTGGTCTGTTTACCGCCACAGATGGTGTCTGGTGGGCCACGAATATCCCCTCAGCCACCTTCCAAACAAAGTCCGAATGGACCAGAGTCTTGCCACTGTAAGCTCTGTAGAGGATATAGGCGTTCCATAAACACTGTTCTAGGAGGTGGCGGAAGATTTTTTTGTAATACTTTTTCTGCTGCTTTCGCATAGCAGGGTAAAAAGTCATTGCCTGATCGGCTCTGTCCACACCTCCCATAGTGTTATTGTAGTCCAACACCACCTGCGGCTTCAGAACATCCTTCCCACTCTTTGTGCGGACTATGGCAGTGGCGGTGTTGTGCACAGTACTGATTAGGGACACGTCCCTTTTGTCCCTCCACCGCAGTGCCATCATCTTCCCTTTTTGCCAGGCAACAATCTCTCCACATTTGAGTTTTCTTTTTCCAAACATGGATGGCATATCACGGCGGTTAACCCTAACAGTGCCATACCCATCAGTCTTGTTTTTTATCAGAACCTCATAAAGTTCGGGAGAGGTATAAAAGTTGTCCGTGGTCACGCAATATCCTTGGTTGAGCAATGGCTCCAGCAGTGTAAGGACCGACGACGTGGCCATTCCATATTCGCTGTAGGCGGGGTTAAATTTGGTACCTTTGCCAGTATAGATCGCAGCGTTCCAGATGTATCCGGTGGCCGACTCGCAGAGCATGTACGATTTGATCCCAAACCGCGCTCTTTTGGATGCAATGTATTGAATCCAGCTCAGGCGTCCTTTGTAGGCCATCAGACTCTCATCTACACTGACGTCTCTATCTGGAACGTAGGTCTCCTGAAAATTTTTGACGATCATCTGGCAAATTTCCCAAATCTTTTTGAGTTTCGGCGCCGGATGCGTGGCCTCATCGAAATCCTCATTGTTGCTGAAGTGGATGTACTTCATTATAAGAGAAAAACGATATTCCGACATTACGGTGCCAAAAAATGGAGTAGCCAATAATCTATTGGTGGTCCAGTACCATTTCTGCAGCGGTTTCCCCACCACCCCCTGCAGAATGATAAGGCCAAGAAATCGCCAAATGTCCTCTTTGGTCACCGGTTCCCACTTCCTGGTTCTGGAAAACTTGCCATGTTGTGTAGCGGATTGCTGGTCATGGTAGTGGTTAGTCTCCGTCACAATTTTGTTGATGACCTCATCTGTCAGGAACAATCGCAGGTATGCCAGCGGGTTGTCTTGCTCCACGTTTACCTTCAAGCCAGGTGAACCAGTAAATGGGAACCTTGGGGGTGCTGGATGGTCCACACCGCAATCAATTGAGCACCAAGTGCGCACGTCGCTGAGCTCCGGAACAGACTCCTCGCTGGCGTCACTTGTTTCATCAGTGTCCGTGTCAGATGACAAATCCCCCCACGATTCACTGTCGCTCAATTCTGCTAGTGCTTCCACGTCACTGTCGCTGTCGCTCATCTGGTCTAAAAGCGGTTTTGCGCAAAAGTGACGCTTTTTTGATGCCATAATTTTAAAAATTTATGGGCAGGAATGACAGTAAAAGAGCAGGGCAGAGCACTCTGGAAAGATCTGGTGTCAAATCCAAGGTGATACAATGCAATCAAATCAGATTACATTGTATCACTTTTTATATGTGTGTGTGTCTTTTAGTGTTTATACTTTTGAATTTGCCGCCCAGTTCCGCTCCCATGCGACACTGCTCGCATGAGAACGGAACTCGGAAGCCGGATGCAGACGTGGACACAGGAGGCTCTCGCTGCGATCGCAGCGAGGGGACTTCGCTGGATCGCAGGAGAAGGCAAGGGACGCCGCTGTGCTGCTCTGCAAGAACCTGGAGCATTAACCCCGAGTGTGACTCGGGGATACCGCTCCTGGCAGCGAATTTTTACCCCGAGTCACACTCGGGATTACCGCTAGCCAGGTTAAACGGGCATGCGCACGAAATGAACAGAATGTTGGAACCTGTCATATCAATGTTGAGCCATAGTGGATTCAACGATTCTTCAACGTTCAGGAAAATGAATGTTCAATATGGAGTCAATATTGACAAGCAAGTGTTGATTCAACTTTGCAATGTTGGTTTTGAACATAGAGTCAATGTTGATATACCATTGATGTCAACGTTGAATCAATTGTTGATGAAAATGAACTTTCCAGATTGAATCACTGTTAATAGTCAACATGGTTTCAAAGTTAGCTGCGTTGACGAAATGACGTTGAATCAACGTTGATTCAACGTGAGTGTGCTACTTGGGCAGTAGTCAGATTCATGCAAAGTTCAACCTTTCCATGTGTCTCCGACTGAAGCAAAAAATTGTATATATATCTCCCCTGAAATGCATGCCCCGAGGGCATTTAATTCCAAAGTCTGAGTTTAAGTTATGTACCAAGTTTCACCTTTCTATTTCTGCCCGATTCGCTAGACCAAAGAAAAATTCTTGAAAGCATCAATCCCCCAAAATTATACCCCCAGGTCATGTACCTGAAATTTGACATTTTTCCTGAGTTCATTGTCTCAACAGCCATGTCTATGCCAGGGTTCAGCTTTTCATGTCTCTCCGTTTGGCTGAAGAATATATACAGGTTGTCCTATAAGTCACTATACCATTTCAAAAAGTCACATCTGCTAAACACTTGACAAAAAAATAAGTAACATTAAGTGAACGAAAGCATATCTTTTGGAATTATCTTTGTCAAAAATGGATGTATTTCTGAAGTTTGAAAGTGCTTCAAAATGACCTCCGCCCTCGTTAATACATTTCGGATTATACTAACTACCAAAATATTGCCGACACTATTGTGTGCCTAATTTCAAACCTCTTTTGTGGATTTTTTTGCCAGATCTGAAAAAAAAATTGAAATACATCCCTCCTATAATCCGCACTAGGAAGAGATGTTTCAATATAAGGATATTTTCTTACTCAGCTGGTACTTCTATGCCAAGTTTCAACTTCGTCTCGCTTTCTGTTTCGTTGGATCAAGAAAGATTATGGAATATCCACCTCTTGCGAAAAAAGGTGCCCTGAGGGGCTTTACCTGAAAAATAAAATGTTTGCCAAAATTGGTACACGGAGAACTACATGCCCGCCAAATTCGAACCTTAATTGATTTGTCATTTTCGCGGATGTAGAAACATTTTCGAGAAAGCCGACCTATGCCAAACCTGTGCCTTTAGGGAATGCACCACAAAAGTGGAATTTTTCCCGTACTCACAATCACATCAGTTATGCGTGTGCCAAGTTCCAGTTTTCTTTCTCTGCCCGATTCGTCTGAACAAAAATTAATTTATCGAAAACATTACCCCTAAAAAATATGCCCAGAGGGAATGGTATTGGAAATTCGACTTGTTTCCTATACTCATCGTCTCAGTAGACACGTTCATGTCAAGTTTCAGTTTGCCATATCAAGTGAAGACTTCATGTCAAGTTTCTATTTCACTATGTTTGTTGGAAGCAAAACTATTTCATTGAAAACATCTTCCCGAAAATTTGCGCCTTCAGGGTATGTACTCTAGAGTCTGATTTTTTTTGAGCTCTTCAAATACCTACTTGTGGACTAAATTTCAGATTACTAACTTCTGTAGAACATGGTTAGAATTAGCGTCAGTCACTCACTCAGACCCTCACGATCGTCTAATTACGAGTATATTAGAACAGGATTACATATATTTGTTTAATATATATCATTTGTGTTATTGAAAATGTCATTGTATCAAAAGATGGATATATATTTTTTAAAGGCAGTGCTCACTTGCGAGATCGAGAAGCAAGCGAACCGGAAGGACGCTCCTTCTTTGGACTCGGCGCTTCCCGTACACGGCACATGATACTGCTTACCTCTGCACACTTCTAAAACGGAGACAGTGCCATCAGAGCGGAAAAAAGCGAGGTCGAAAGGGGAAGGAAAACCTACCCCGAAGCGCTTGAGGATGCACGAGGCCCATCCCGTTTTCCAGGCAGAGATAGGCGTCGTGGCAGTTTGCTGCATGGCCACTGCAGCCCAGCGGGTCAGAATCCTCCCAGGCTAGGGAGAGTCATCAATAGGAGGGTGATGGTGAGCGTGCAAGTGAGTGTGTCTAGAGGAGGGAAGGCTTGAACTCACCGTTCGATCGATTCGCTCCGAGGGCTTTTCCCAGTATTTCCCGTATGATTTCTGTCTCCTATGAAATAAAGTGAGCCTTTCATAGCAGGCAGGCCTTAGGATGGGAAATGGAACTAGAGAGTTTTTCAGGATTCGATTTCTCCCGAGAAAAATCGTTTAAACAGCAATCACTCGGCGTTAAGGGAGCAACAAGGTCTCTTAACGAAAAAGTTTTGGCAAAAGAATCGATGGAAATTGTTGGGCTCGCTCACTTTGACCATCGCTGCTTGGATGTAAGCGGAAATGAAGCGACGACGAATTCCCTCGAGGGTGTCATTAAGGCTTTCGCCGACAAACCTTTCCTTCCACGCTGCAAACGTCATATTCAGAGTGAGAGTTGGAATCTCGTCTTCCATCGTGTTGAAGTATGGGGTTTCGGTTGTCGAATCTAGACGGTCCAAAGCCATGGACATTAACACGAGGTGAACATCAAAATCCAAAGGGAAACCATTGAATCACCAACGATGTTTTGCGGTCACAGAGACAATCCGGCGCGAGATGCTTCAGTTTCCATCAAAAACCCCAAGGAACCATCCCGCTACCGAAACTCTGGAACCTCATTTGCATATTGGACTCATGTGAGTTGAAACTTCCCTCCTGGAACCTGATTTGGCTCTCACTCCGTAGATTCTCGCGTCTTCGCATCCAGACGCAAACATGCATCTCGCAGCGGAATTTCTCTCGACCGAAAACACTCGCCGGAACGTTATACTCCGACCAACTCACACATCATGCTGATGTTCGAGTCCAACGAGCAGGGATTCGCGTACCTCTCGAATTTCAAAGGAAACTCATTTCTGAATCGGAAGGAGTTCTTGCTCTTCCACTCCTCGTCCAATCCCTGCAAGGTCCGTTCGACATTCGCCGCGTTAACGCCGTCGCACGTTGCGTTCAGAGCGGATGACCGCACCGCGATCCCGTCGATCGTGGTCGCGTTCGATCCAGGGTTCCTCCTCAGCTGGGTGCACAGATCTTCCACGTCCCTTTGTGTGAGAGCGCTCGGGTCTGACCTTGCTGCCGGATGCATCGAGTCGTACTCATCGCAGGGATCGAAATGTTCGGCTGCAAGCGGGAAACGAAGTTTGCAAAAAAAATTGACGAGCGTTTTAACCCGCATGCGACCAGCGCCCCCCAAAATTGGGATGGTGAAAATGTATTTCTTTATTTCGCAGAAAAAGAGGTAAGTGATGTAAGATACCGCCATGTATGGATTTTTATCGGTATTTTCATGAACATCTCCGTCTCCTTTTGCTAATGATTGCATCAGGTTATTAGGTCAATCTTGATGTTTTTTTCTGTTTATTAGCAACGTTTCCGTAAATACACATTTATAAGCGAATTTTTCCCCTCCTTGTCTTTGGTTAAAATTTATTTCTTTATTTCGGAAAAAATGTAAATGATGTAACGTACCGCCATGAATGGCTTTTTTTATCAGTATATTTATGGAACATCTCCGTCTCCTTTTGCAAATGATTGCATCAGGTTATTAGATCAATATTGATGTTTTTCTGCTTATGAGCAAAGTTCCCGTATATAGAATACGTTTTTAAGCAAATTTTACCTCTCCTTGTCTTAATTCGATCAGCAGCTAAGACGAATGATCATGGTGGTTTCCATGATATCGATGCAGAAAACAAGTTGAATTTCTATATTACAATATCTCCTGATTCTCTTTTTTTTTATTGTCCCTAATTTATTTCCATCTTTCGGCTGTACGGTAGATTTCAACACTTTCATAATGAACATGTTTTCTCTGTTGTTGAGCCCTTAAGTTGCCATGACGTATATATCCGGCATGGTGAAATGCTCCCAATATCAGTGTAATTTTTCTTTTCCGCAGCGCTATATTAGAAGTTTGAGTGATATACGAATTTAGAGTTCGAAACAGGAGTATAAACACGAAAAAGAGTTTGAACTTCTTCCGCAAACACTAAATAAAACGCTCACGACTGAAAGTTCTCACTTTGATGGCAGACTACTGGTCGAGAAATTACCATAAATTTTTATTTTGCTGAATGGTATTAGATTGGGATTTTATTAATCTGCATTTTTTAAATACGCAACGAAAAAGTTCGATTTGTAAATTTTCGTCAACTTCTTCGTACTTCCGGACCACAATTCACTGTGGGGCTGAACGCCGCTAAAAGAGGGAGAGAGAGAATGCGACGCACCCTGGAAATCGTCGCCCTGGAGGGTCTTCTCGCTGTCGAGCAGGGCGACCATCCTCGGGCTGAGGATCCCCTTCTCCTTCTCGACGGCCGAGCGGCTGAGCACGTTGTAGCTGCACACCGTCACCGCCGGGAACTCCATCGTCGAATCTTGCATCACCTATTCCGTCTCGCCAAAGGACGTCCACGATGTCGAAATTACGTTCGTTCGTATTCCGAAGGATTTCAGCGCTTTCCAGACGTTCTTTAAGTCTAACGATTCTATTTGCCTGCTACTTTCACAACTTCTTGCTCCAGTTAATCAATGGCTACATTGTTCATTCCATGTCAAATCAACAGAAAAAAAATTAAATTTTCCTTACCCCTCGTATTTCAATGACATTTGCTGGGTTTGTAGAATCTGAGACCAGTCTTGCCATGGATTCTTAAGAAACTCCCCTCCATTCGAATTGAAGCCAAGATATGCGATGATTGCAGGAAGAAAAATACCGGAATATATCGATATTACCAGGAACTGAGTCGAACACATTGTCATTCGTGTCACGTCAACGAGATAATTGTCCAAGGAGCCATACTTACATACCTGTATAGGCCCAATACCTCAACATATATAGACACGATTTTTCGCCCTGCGATTTCCAGATCTTCGGGGCACTGAAACGGGACCTGAAAGAAAGGCATTTCCACTCGCACGACGAGGTGATTGCGGCGGATTCTGACACAATAGGAGAAGTGCCTCAACGCCGGCAGGGCGTATGTCCATATGAATGTCACGGTAAGTATTCAGAGCACCCTGGCCCACTTTCATTTGACTGGCCCTCGTATTTCTGTGAAATGGGTTGGAAAAAGAATTCGCTTTCAAAAACGGCTTGTCTTGAGCAATTTGAGGGAAGTGTATCAACTGTTGAAAGACAGGTTTCCCGCTCAAGTTATTGGCTTCTCCAAATTCGCCAGAAGCACGGCGTCTTAGCTGGAGCGAGTGGTTCACATGCAGTGTGTGTCCGCACAATCCATCAAAACGGGAAGCTGATGGTAATGGGCGGAAGAACTGCTGATATGACTGCTGATGATGACACACAGTCCCTAGAAGCACATAACATTGAATCAACATTGATTCAACGTTGGTTAAACGTCCGGATGGTGAATCAACATTCAATTAATGTTATTTAAATGTTATACGAGCTATGATGGTATGCTCCTTGGGATCACCGTCTGACAAGGATCACCTATAATCCTCCTCAACCAATGTGCTACTTTCAAGAGTGCCGTTCATTCCCTATGCACATCGGATCTGAAGGAACACCTGAGATCATCAGTGGATCACAACATGATAGATAATATCATCTACCGGCAGTGGATCTCCTTTGACAGATCCAGTCTGCGGAATAATGAGCATGAATATGATGAGCGGAGATATTGCCGATCTGACCGCTTATGACGATGTTCCACTGAAAGCATATGGCTGCTACACACAGAAAATTCAGTGCCTCAGTTCGATGCATTTTTCTCGCGAAAAAATCTGTCCTGCATGTGATGCGCCTTTATCGCATCGAATTTTGGATGCGGTTATCGCATCAAATGTTGGATGCAATAAAAACGCATCACATGGAGGACAAATTTTTTCTCGACTAAAATGCATTAATTTGATTCTGCGTGTATAGGTCGGGTATATTATGCACTTCTGCCGCATTGAACATTTGGTGATGAACTTCAGGCACATCGAAATTTGCCATGCATATCCTATTATGGGAATATAGTGGCTTTTGAGCTTAAAGCCTGAATACACGAACCTCATTTAGGGGAGACAACGAACGAAGGAATTAGCGAAGGAGCTCCTTTGCGAAGGAGCTCTTCTTCTCCCATTGGAATCCATTTATTTTTCAAGGACTGTTAAATATATATAGTTAACAGTCGAATCCTTTATTGGTGATACGTGTTGCACCACCAACGCACCAAACGGAATACAAACACCGTATGAAACTGGACTCGAAGAATGAAGTAAGCAGTTACATGGGGATCCCTTCGAGACGCACGAGCTACTCGCACGGGTCAGAGGGAAGGTGAAGTGGCGATGAGGCCATGCACTCTGGCGGTTGCGTGTGAATCCCTCCGCTGTCAATGCATTGCCCCGAGGGTTCATGGGGGAGAGGGAGGGGGGGGGGCTTCCTCGGCACGATGAAGTGGAATACGGAGGCTAACATGTGTCTAGACGATGCGCAGCCACTCAAAACACCCTTCCGACTCGGCTATAGACTCATTTTGGTTTTGGGAACGCCTTTTAGGCGACCCTGCACGGTCGGGAAGCGAGAGATGTAAATCGAAAATCCAGTTGATGTCTTTTTCTCTTGAGAAAAATAAATCGAAACGCGAAAATTGAGAGAAGTATTTCATCTCCATTTATCGATTTCTCTGAGTGTAGAAGCCTATAACATTAAATCAACATTGATTCAACGTTGACTTAAAGTCCGACTGGTGAATCAACATTGAATTAATGTTGTTTAAATGTTATACGAGGGAATGCTACGAGGGATCACTATCTGGCAAGAATCGCCTGTAATCATCCTCAACCATTGTGTTATCAATACTTTCAGGAGTGCTACTTTCAGGAGTTCTTGGCCTGGCGCATAAAGTCTGAAAGAACATCTGAGATCGCTAATGTATCACAACATGATAGACAACATCATCTACCGGCAGTGGATTTCCGTATGGCTACCAGCGCAAGGTTTTCATTGGGAGGATTCACAAGAAACCATTCATCCATTTGTGGTATATTGCAAAGACTTTGGGGAATTCCAACATGTGAGCTACATGATAATATCAAAATGTTTCAACCACGACAGGGTTGCTGTCCAGAGGAAATTCATCAACTTCCTGTAGGATGAATTTGGTACCCTTTCAAGAAAAATCACCTACTTCCCAGATGAATCAGCTTCGCTCTACGAAAATCAAAATATTTCCTCAACTTGCGTCATCACGAGACAGACTTAGGTTTTCCAGATGAGTGGTACTTCTCAGCCACCTGTCACGGAAAAGGAGTGTGACGGAGTTGGAGGGAAAGTGAAGAAGTTGGCTACAGGATCCACTCGCCAATGACAGAACATCCGACAAATAATGATGCCTCACCAACTGTTCCTATGGGCAACTGAGAATATCCCAGGCGTTTTCTTAACGATCTTCAATTTCCTAGTAAAAGTTTAACGATTACTTCCAAAAGCATGTTCTTTTTAAGTTGTTGACTATGCGGAAGGCATTTATTGGAAGTCCCATTTGAAAAAATTAAAACATTTTAATCTAACCTAACCTACCATTGTGGAGCCATTCACATTTGAAAGGAAAGCCTTACGTTTCATGTTCACAAGTGAAACCGATTACATTAATATTAATTTCATCATATTCGGTTTAAGCCCGAAAATGGGCAAAACTAACCAAACATAACCTTAACCTAAACTTGACCTAACCTTACTTTTTCAAATTAGTGAAATATGAAAAAATTTCATTTTAAGGTTAGGCTAAGGACACCAACTCGAAATATACATATGCCTTCAAAATTGTTTAATCTTTTCCACTCGAATTCTTGCAAGAGTCAATGTACCAATGGGCGAGTATACTCGCCCATTCGAGTGGAAAAGGTTAAAGGGCAAAACTGGGCATACTCCTTTTAAAAGGGAATGAAGAGACCTTTGATATGACACCAATATCAGCTTTCTTTGATGATTAGAACAAAACCTATGAGCATTTGAGTAATGCCAACCTAACCCGAAATTGGCTATGTTTTGCTATTTTCAAATTGCTACCTTTCTGAAAGTATGCAGATGCAGAGAGCAGTAATTTGGCAAGAAATGGTTTTTGAATAGTCCCTACACGCTCGACAAATTTCTTGAAAATCGGAGGGGTCATGTAAATGGCTGTGTTGGTTTCACATGGAATGATCCGTATGCGATATGCATGCTACGCTTTACTGCTGCGTTCATCGCCAAACTGAACGCCATCTGGTGTCCATTACATACCCACGTCTCCCTATTTTTACTCGCGTTGAGAATTACTGCGTCAGAAATGTACTCTCTCTACGAAATGAACTAGACCTCGAATCGCTCCACCCCATATCCCTCCACCCCACAAAAATCCCAATTCCGTTTTATTATTCCAATCCGGACACAGACCTGAATGCCGACGACCTTTGGGTACGTAAGGAAGTCCTGGACCACCAGAGCGCTCTGCCAGAGACACAGCACCATGAATAAGATCATGATGAAGAACCACAGCAGTCGTCCCCCCAACGGATAAGGTTCGAGGACACGAGGGATCCCATTTGGACTAAAACGGGACAGTAATTCTTCGATCCAGTCCACGTCTCCCTCCTCGCCTCCGCTGCGTTTCCTAAACGGGAGAAAGAAAACATTTCGGTGATCCATGATCAGGTCGGGTCAGTTCACTCTATTCGGCAATGCGAAGATTCACGGATTCAGGAGTCTAATCCCTTGATTACATCCTATTTTATGAATGAATTTTCCGATCTAAAATCAGTCTAGAGTTCTTTCCCGAGCTCTACTCTCTTTAGCTCCAAAGTTTTCTGTTGATGAAGTATCTTATTGACCTACCAACTTCCCGGAGCCATCGATCCAAGGCTCGATTGACTTTTACCAGACTTTTTTTTAATTTTGAGGGGTCACTGTCAAGTTCGTAAAACCTATACAGAAATTAAAATTCCTTGACTCCAACGATGGCTGGCAATACGGTTACTTTTTCGTTTCTCCTTAAAATCAGTGGGCTGACAAAGAAGAATAGATTTCTGTCATTTGAAGGACGGGGACGCTTCCTGGGAATGAGATACAGTGGCACAACAAGGCATGTGGTTTTGCATAATCACCCATGCGGAAAGGTGAAATAATGATGATGAGGCATAGAGGGCTTCCAGAAATCGCCTTCAACGCCGAATAGTCAAGCAGTGCAGCAATCAGTTAATTGTTGCGTGTCTCTAAGGACATAGGCAGAACTCGGTCGAGATAATGAGGCAAGTGAGTAAATAGCGATTCCGATGCACGAAAAGATTGTTCGATGGAGAACTCTGTCAACGGCTCCACCTCGCTCTACATAGATACGGCACCTCGTCGATAATATCCACCAGTCACGAAAGCCATAACGGTCGGTCCCGAGAGTCGCGGGCGTCCATGCCTCGAAAACGAGATGTGATTCTTTCTCAAGACTCATACTGATCACTCTATGGTCTCATGGTAGTACTGGGGGATCCAGATTTCAGGTGCATTCTAGCCATTCTGCATACTTTTCGGGTGGAGGGCGAGGTGGGGAGGGGGGGAAAATGCTGAAAAGAGGAAGCCATGCCATGAGTCAAAGGTGGAACGGTAAACCCGACTGGACGTGATCTGGCCAATTCAATAAGCCAATGGTAAAGATAAGTTGCATGAGTTTTGGGACTGGGACGCAAGTCTATGAGTGTTTATTTTGCATAAGGATTCGGTTGGGTGTTTTAAGACTCAAGAAATCGAATAGTATCAAACGATTATCCTCCTTGGATATTGTGATACGGCTTAAGGACATCCTTCGATGCCTTGAGAACCGTCCTAATCCGTAACGAGTCATCGCGAGACAGAAAAAATCATTCTTAATCTGATGGCGAATCAGAAAACAGATTTAAAAAAAACACGAATTTTAATAACTCCCAACTTTTGTTGAAGTGAAAATCGTATCAAGCCATGTTTGATTTAATCTTGCAAATGCATTCTATGAAAAAATCCTGAATCTGCAGGAATTATAACCTGGATCGGTATGGATTCAACGGATGCGTTGTCTCTTCCCCGGAGGAGAGTAGCTTTAATAATAATGTATAGGTATTTAAATCGCCAACAGTCTTCAGATTAAACTGCAAGATCAGGAATGAACATATACTGATGAAGTGATGAGTGTAAGTGGTTGCGATGGAAACGTGAAGAACGACTTCACAAGATTGCCTACATGCAAGCGATGGACTGGACATCACCCGGAGAATATATTGCTGGGTACTGGTAAGTGCGCCATTCAAGCACTACCTCTGATCTGTTTATTTTTTAGGCACCTATTCCGAGAGTGAAATAAGTGAGATTCATGCATTTTCCTTTTAAGCCGTACACATCAAATCGACCAGCCTGTATGAGGTCCAGCTCTGAATTTCTTCCTGGTTTCCGAGGAAACTTGAATTGGTATACCTTTGGTATAGGTAGAAACAGAATAATCACTCAAAACTCCGCAGGACAGAGAGTACTGCAACCAAGAAAATAAGCATACCGCCGAGAGAAAAGGCGGATTGCGGGACTCACTTGGAATCCTTCATGCTGGCATCGACACGGACAAAGGAACTCTTCTGCCTTCCTCTACGCAAAGCACTCTGCCGATGTCAGGAAGAGATAATCATTGGATAACGTCACATGCAGGATTAGCCACCCTCATTAGGTCCACACAATCGCGCATGAGGCACAAAAACCCATATCAGATCACTTGCATTATTCAGAGGCGATTTGCAGTACGGTTCGCTTGTTTGCTCAAGGGATCAGATTGCAGTTCGATTTCGCCAGGTGTGTATTGCATGTTTTCGTATTGGCAGCACAGTAATACAACGTCTCTCCATTGGTATTTTTCCTCGATTGTTTTAATGCAAATGCAGACGTAGTTGAGTATTTTTTTTTTCGATTTCTACAAAAAAGTGGAGGAGAAAAGTAAGCAACATTAATTATTCAGAGTGTCTGCTGCACTGATTTCACCAACAGTCAAAATGAAACAAATTCACTTCCAAGTAATTTTTCTTGGGGAGGATAATTTTTTCCATCGCGGCTTCCTATGGCGTTTCCTTCCTTCCAAATAATCCGAGAATTTAACATTGAGAATGAACCTCCACCTCTCGGGTTCCTACGAATCCAGCAATGCACTTGATCTGTTTATTTTTTCCTATTTTAGCTGGAAAACTTTTTTCAAGTTCACATGTGATGCTTCGAATATTACCTTCATATTTGTCATATAGTACTAGCTCCATAGGGGTCTCTGTGGCAGTTCCTGTATTTCCAGGTTGACAATTTAAAGGATTGCGTGCACAAAAATTGCTGCTGTGGTACATCGAGTCCTATTCAAGAAGTTCGCTCATGCAGAAAGAAGTGAGTTCCTTATACCATAAATTATCGTCAAACTGTTGAAAATTCGATATTTTGCAACATGTACAGATGATTGACAAGTGAAGCCATGCAAACCGAAGGAACTTATGGAAAAGTACATGTATAATACAGAGTGTAAAAAAAAAGTTTATGATTTTGAATAACCATATAAAAAAATTACTAATTGGAATGAGCTTTCAATTCAAACAATATCACAGAGAAGCTTTTAAAAATGTCCTAGTGTAAAAAATCAATTCAGAATGAGCCGCAGAACATCATTAAAGACGTCAGGAGAAGTATAGTTCTGCTGCCTTCAGGACTTCGAGCGGAACTAGTCCACCTGCCCATTTATTCGCTCCCATGAGTTCTGTACTCTTACGGAAATGTCTTATAAGAAAACCTATAGTTACTTCTTATAGGAAACATGTAGACTTTCCTATAGGTTTTTGAAACACGAAAAACCTATATGAACCTTTAGGATCCCTATTGGATCCCTATAGGATCCCTATAGGGTCTCCTGATCTATAGGATTCAGGGAGGATATTTTGGGTTTCGAAACCCATGCATTACGACGGAAAAGGCGACCAGGGTTAATATTGGCGCAGCATATCGTGTAAATTAAAAACCGATTAGGGGTTTTCCCATGGTAGGGATACATGCATTATTAATACCAAAACTACGGGGGTCTGCACAATTTATGGCCTCACCCCACATGTGCCGCTGGATTACACATCTACTTCCTTCGGTCGGAAGAAGTAGTATTCTTCTCTCGACCTAAGGAAATAGAAGACAGAACCTGTGAGCACGTCTCTTTACTGAAACCCCAGTTGGATAGAGTCTACTTCAGTTTCGTACGTGGTTTTCAAAAGGAATAAGGGCAGATTTCTTCACGGGACTCCATGATTATATCTGGAAGATGGGCATGACAAATAAGGAACTGTTGAGGTTTATTGATTGCTAGAATGAGGCAAGGCGAGACATTAGGGGACGTACAAAACTCTTTTGAGAGAGATGATTCCTTGGGTAAGGGGAGGGCACTTTTGTGGCCTTTGAGAAATGTGACAACCCAATACTTCCATCTAGTGGTTTAGAGGAGAACTTCAAACGGAACCCTATAGATCCTATAGGTCCTATGAGGTTCCGTAAAGGCACTATAGGGAACCCTACAGATCCTATAGAGAACCCTACGGGTCCTTTACAGAACCCTTTGGGTCCTATAGGGAATTTATAGGCCTTAAGGAGAACCTTATTGGTTCTCTAGGGAACTCTATAGGTTCAATAGGGGACTCTATAGGTCCCTTAGGGAACTCTATAGGTCCCAAAATGAACTCTATGGGGCATATAGGATCCTATAGGATTCCTTTTGATTCTTTTAGGATTCCTATGGGATTCCTGTATATTCCTTCAGGAATATATAGGAATCTTATTAGACATTTTCGTAAGGGTAAAATCTGGCTTGTCCTGAAGGCTTCATTCTTGTTGTATCGCCACAGATAAAGGTCGAGCAGACTGAGGTCTGAAGAACGTGCCGATCACTTACGAAGTAATGTCATCTCGCTGAGAATTGTGTCACCAAGCAAATCTCTCTTTCAGCCCTTAAAGACAAACGAGGGTGGTATGACTGGTAGTCCGGCCTTTTTAGGAAAAAAATTTCCGTTCGTGTATAATTATCTTTAAATGGGACATATTTCTAGTGGGAAGTGCTTCACAAACGGGATATTTTTTACAGCCGAAAAAAAATGTATTCACATCTTTTGGACTGTTTCGCGGCTAGAGGCACTCACATCTAACTTGCTTTCCACTAAGACGAAAATTTCTGAGTTGCTCTGCAATTAATTTTAATTTTTTATTGAAATTTCATAATAATGTAATTCAAAATGATAACCACTTTTGCGAAAAATTCTCCATAAGCCCAAAAATTTTTTTTAATCATCAATGGCGATTGGAGGAAAGAAATCGGCTTTAAAAGAGCTTAAACCTTCTACTAGCCTTGGTCACTCCTCCACACTGATGTTAACTGAATTTCATTCAGTTTCCGAGGGCACACTTCGTTCATGTGAGAGGTGGCATATGGCCCCCAAAGGGATTTCGGCGCCGGAGGCGGCTGGACTTTTGTTTACAGGGATAGGGCTAAGGGGATTACAGTCCTGCTTTGTGTGACGTCAGGAGCTGCCCCCTTCCATCCCTGTCGGCTGCTCCGTCCCGCCCCAGAGGGAGGGGTGTGTTTGGCATGCAAATGAGTGGATGTATGCAATTGATATTTGTACATAATGGACTCGATAATGGTTGGCTGGGGGATGTGTTTTCTTTCCCCGTTTTGATCAATTATCTTATTTCATACGCAGTCACAATTAATTAATTCTGATGGAGATTGGAGTTTCACAATAGTGGGAAAAAAGAAGTTCCCTGCTGCAACGTAGCTTTCTCGTTTCTGGTGGTTTCCTGATGAATACTCACTCAAGCGACGCAAATGCATGAA